ATTTTTATAAATTTATAAATTTAGTGTAGCCTAAGTGTACAGTGTTTATAAAATCTACAGTAGTATACAGTAATGTCCTAGGTCTTCACATTCATTCAGCACTCACTGACTCACCCAGAGAAACTTGTAGTCCTACAGGCTTCATCCATGGTAAGCGCCCTACATAAACTTACATACCATATTTTTACTATACCTTTTCTATGTTTAGATATATTTAGATATACAAATACCACTGTGCTACAACTGCGTACAGGTCTGTAGCACAGGGGCAAAAAAGGCTATCTCACACAGACTAGATGTATCACAGGCTATACCATTTAGGTTTGAGTAACTTGATGATGGTCACAAAACAACAAAATTGCCTAGCATCAGATTTCTCACAATGTATCCCTGTCATTAAGCAACAGATGACTACTAGATTGTTTTGATGCCGGGCTCGGTGGCACAGCCTGTAATCCCGCGCCTTTGGGAGGCTGAGGTGAGTGGATTGCCTGAGCCCGCAGGTTCGAGACTCACCTGGGCAGCAAGACCTCATCTGCACAATAAATCAAAAAATCAGCCAGGCGTAGCAGCGCATGCCTGTAATCCCAGCTACTTGGAAGGCTGAGGCGGAAGGATCGCCGGAGCCCAGCAGGTCGAGGCTGCGGTGGCCGGGAGAGGCCACTGCACTCCAGTCTGGGCGACAGAGTGAGACTCCAACTCAAACCAACAACAACAACAAAAAAAGTGGAAGAACCTTAACTTGGGAAAGTTACCCTGAACAAAAAGTTCCATCTATACTGCTAAAATGGTTCTCAACTATATTCTGCCTTTTTCAACCTAGTACTTTCCCCTATTGGCAGGTGTGCTTTCCCTGCCTGGTGGGGCTGTCACTTCTCAGGAGTGTCACATGGCCCAGGAGGGTCAATCTGATGACTCTTCTCCATCATTTCCTCAAACACAGTAATTAACCCATGTGTGAAAATCCTAACCCAACCAGAGCCGAATCTCTTAGGAAATTAAACTAACCCTTTAACAGAAGATCCATCTCTCTCGTTCCCAAGATCTTAAAACAAAAAGACCACTTTAAACCTGGAACAGCTAGAGACACTTTGGCTACTATATAGGAGAAAACTTGTCTGAAAATAAGGCCAAACAAGGGAAAACAGAGTTGATCCAGCTATGTCTAAAGCTTATCATCCTGGTTAAGTGAACCACTAAATTTCTTATTTTGTTTATGCCAATTTGAGCTGGGTTTCTTTCCCCTGCAAATAAAAGAACTCTGAAAAACACACAAGAATTTGGGCAACATTTCTTCCTATTTGTTATGTGAACTTTATGTGCAGCCAGTAGAAATTCTCCACTCCCACGACATGCTAGCTATGAGATACTAGATAATTTAACATCTCTGTATTTCAGTTTCCTCATCCATAATATGTAGATAATATTAGTACCTACTTCAGAGGACTGTTGTGAGAATTAAATGAATTAAGAAGTGTAAAACACATATTAACTCAACAACTAGTACACAGTCAATAAATGTTAGTCTGAGATTAAGATTAGTTAGATTCAGCCGGGCTCAGTGGCTCAGCCTGTAATCCCAGCACTTTGGGAGACTGAGGCAAGTGGACTGCCTGAGCCCACGGGTTCAAGACCAGCCCGGGGAACTTGTAGAGACCTCGTCTCTACAATAAGTCAAAAAAAATTAGCCGGGTGTGGTGGCGTGTGCCTGTAGTTCCGGTTCCTTGGAAGGTTGAGGCGGAAGGATCGCCTGTGCCCCAGCAGGTCAACTCTGGGGTGGTAGTGAGCATGTCACTGCACTCCAGCCTGGGCAATGGAGTGAGACTCCAACTCAAAAAAAAAAAAAATAGATTAGTTAGAGTCTATATTATCTAGATAATTTTTAAAATTCCATAAATCCAAAGAAATATGTTACAGGTTCAGAATAACAGTAGTTAACATGAGGAAGTTTAATCACAGTAAGCCTACTGCTCACAGTAAGTATGGATTCCAGTATCATTTACCACATGTCCTACCTTTACTGGCCACCAACAGATGCAAAAAGATGTCTAATGCACAACAGAAAAAATAAAAACATTGGCACTTTATGAATACTATAAAAATAACTTTTCAATATGGGTTCTATTACATTTCTAAATTTATTTTCCTAAATCATTCCCTGATGTCTGTTCAAAATTGTACCAAAATAATTACTATCAGATTTGAAGTATCCTTTACACATTGACACCATCCACAACACCTGGCAAACAAAAAATCAGTATCAATGTGACATGTACTTAATTGAGAATATGCACTCTGGATAGTAATCCTGGCTCAGGCACTAACAAGCTGTGAGTCCTTACACACTTTAAATTCTCTGTCATAGCCGGGCTCAGTGACTCAGCCTGTAATCCCAGCACTTTGGGAGGCTGAGGTGAGTGGATTGCCTGAGCCCGCGGGTTCGAGACCCACCTGTGCAACTTGGTGAGACCTCATCTCTACAATAAAATCAAAAATTAGCTGGGCGTGGTAGCACACGCCTGTAGTTCCAGCTACTCGGAAGGCTGAGGCGGAAGGATTGCCGGAGCCCAACAGGTCGAGGCTGCAGTGGCTGGAAGCAGCCGCTGCATTCCAGTCTGGGTGACAGAGTGAGACTCCAACTCAAAAAAAACAAAAAAAAATTCTCTGTCATGATCAAGTACATGAGGAAGTAAAAGGCATGCTCTTGTAAATAACTTACAGTCTCATGGGAGAGATAACTAACAGCAAAAAATTAAGACCTACAGTTAGGAATGCAAAGGAAAGTTCAGTGACGAAGAATCATGTGTGCTAACAGTGAGGGAAAAGGTCTCCATTTTGAAGGCTCCCATGTATACACGTTAAATAAAATGTGGGCCGGGCTCAGTGGTTCAGTCTGTAATCCCAGCACTTTGGGAGCCCACAGGCAACTTGGCAAAATGTTGTCTCCACAATAAGTCAAAAATTAGCTGGGCATGGTAGCATGTGCCTGTAGTTCCAGCTACTTGGAAAGCTGAGGCAGAAGATCACCAGAGCCCAGTGGGTAGATGCAGGGGTGGCTGTGAGCGTGCCACTACACTCCACCCTGGGTGACAGATTGAGACTCCAACTCAAAAAAAAAAGTATACGCCTTTTCTCCTATTACTCAATCTTGCCTCATGCCAGTGGTTTTTCAGCAAACCTTTAGTGGGCCAACAGCTATGGCCCCCACAGTTTTGGCACCGTGAACAGGATGAAAAAAAGCTGCTCTTCTCTTCTGGAGGCTGCAGTGAGAAGGACCCAGGAACCTCATCTACTGGCAAAGGGGAATTGTTTCTTTGGAAATGCAAATTTAGGGTCACCTAGAGCAATGAAACAGGGTTCCAGAATCATGAATGTGTAACCAAGTCTATTACTTGGAAGCTGAGCTACCAGTACCCCCAAAGGAATACCTTTTTGATAGAGACTGCCAGATCTCTGCCTAAATTCTTTTCTTTGTTTCCCCTTTATCCGCGTTACATTACCCAGACTCCCTTGCAACTAGACCCTGGATGTAGGGATTGGGCTTGACCATGATGATATTAACAAGGCGCAATGAGATGATGGAGCCAAAAGATCGAAATACCACTCAGAAGACAACTGCCACCCACCTGAAATGCCCAGCCCAAACATGAATTAAGATGCAATTGTGTGTGAGCCATTACATTTTTGGCTTTATTGGTTATAGCAGTTTAGTCTACAATAACCAGTAAAATCAACTTTTAGGCTGAGGTGAGTGGATTGCCCGAGCCCACGGGCTCGAGACAAGCCTGAGAAGGCAAGACCTCATCTCTACAATAAAATCAAAAAATTAGCCGGGCGTGGTAGCGCGCACCTGTAGTTCCAGCTACTTGAAAGGCTGAGGTTGAAGGATCGCCAGAGCCCAGCAGGTCGGGCTGTGGTGGCCGGGAGCGGCCACTGCACTCCAGTCTGGGTGAGAGAGTGAGACTCCCACTCAAAAAAAAAAAAATTCAACTTTTAGAGGTCCTAGATCCTGAGACTCCATCTTGGAAGAGCCAAGGACTGAGACATGACTGCAAATACCGTCTAACCATCTCCACCTCAAAGAAGATGATTGGAGTTTTACTTTTACAAAGGACAGAAAAGTTAAGAGGATCCTCCCTGAAATGTTAGCTCGTGAGGATAGATTTTTAAATTATATAAATGGCAGAAAGACCCCTGCATTCTTTAGTTACAAGGGTGCTGATGCATGGGAAATTAGCCAACAGTGTATGGAGGAGGGTGTTTGGGAAGGCTGGCGAACAGACACATCTGAGGAACACCAGGTGGATTAGTTACGTGGAACAGACTCACAGAGAGTTCATGCTGAATAGACCTTCTCTGAATTTGGGGGTACCAAATATTTTAAAACTATTTCAGAATCTAGAAGGTGACTGTTATAGGCTACACTGTATCCCCCAAAATTCAAATGTTCTAACCCCTAATCATGAGATATGATGCACTCCTGCACTCGAGTACCTCAGAATGGGGCTGTATTTGGCAACAGACCCTTTAAAGAGATAAAATGAGGCCATGAGGGTGGGCCCTTACCCAAACCAACTAGTGTCTTTCTAAGAAAGGGAGATTAGGACACAGACATTCAGGGAGGATAGACCATGTGAGGACACAGGCAGAAGGCACCATCTACAAGCCAATGAAAGAGGCCTGAAGAAAAACCAACCATGTTGGCATCTCAGTCTCAGACTTCCAGCCTCCAGAATTTTGAGAAAATAAATTCCTGATGTTTAAGCTACAAAAGAGAGAGCTCGAGAAAGAGAGAGACAGAGAGAGAAGAGTAGAGTGAGGGAAGCCAGGTATGGTAGCTCCCTGTAATCCCAGTACTTTGAGAGGCTGAGGCAGAAGGATCATTTGAGGCTGGGAATTCAAGACTACCCTCAACAACATAGCAAGACACTATCTCTACAAAAAATAATAATAATTTTTTTTTTAATTTGCTGAGATAGGTCGGAGCTGCTGCCATCGCCATGACCTGCGGTAACCAGCATGAGCTCGCCTGACAGGAGAACATGAAAAAGCAGAGCAACACGGTTAGGGGGACGCGCTGAGATGACGGGCTTTTTGCTGCTGCCCGCAAGCACAGGGACTCGGAGATCATGCAGCAGAAGCAGAAAAAGACAAACAAGAAGGAGGACCCCAAACAGCTTTGTGGCTTCATGTCCAACCTCCTTGCCCCTCGCCCGTGTGCCTGGAGCCAGGCCCACCATGCTGGCGTTTCCTCCTGGAGTGCTCACAGGTCCCAACACCGACGGCTCTCCCTTTGCTCTGAGTCTGCAGCAGGTCCCTTTTGTGCTTCCTCCCCCTCAGGTAGCCTCTCTCTCCCTGGGCCATTCCTGGGGATGAGGGGGTTACCCCTTCCCAGTTTTTTTATTCCTGTGGGGCTCACCCCAAAGTTTTAAAAGTAGCTTTGTAATTCCAAAAAAAATGTTGCTGGGCACGGTGGCATATGCCTGCAATCCCAGTTACTGAGGAGACAGAGGCAGGAAGAGGGCTTCGGCGAGTCGGAGGCTGCAGTAAGCTAGGATAGCACTACTATACCCCAGTGGGAGCAGCAAAGTGAGAACTTGTCTCTTAACAAAAGAAAAGAGTGAAGGAAGGCTCCATAGCCTAGATAACTGTTGGAAATGAGTATCTTACAAATTAGCATACAGTAGGAGAATGAAATTTCCAGGAAGGGAAATGTAAGAGCATTCCTGATTGGAGACATATTGGGAGACCAGATGAAGAATATGGAATACTTTTAAACATTTAAGGCAAAAAGAATAATTTGCCTTTAATTACCAACCAAAAAAATAACAATTTCTGAGTATTTAGCCCAATTTTTTTTGAGTTGGAGTCTCACTCAGTCGCTCAGACTAGAGTTCAGTGACCACTCCCACCCACCACAGCCTTGACCTCCAGTGATCCTTCCACCTCCGCCTTCCAAGTAGCTGGAACTACAGGCTCACGCTACCATGCCCGGCTGATTTCTTGATTTATTGTAGAGATGAGGTCTCACCAAGTTGCCCAGGCGGGTCTCGAACCCGTGGGCTCAGGCAATCCACTCACCTCAGCCTCCCAAAGTGCTGGGATTTCAGGCTGAGCCACCGAGCCTGGCTATTTAGCCCAATTTTTTAAAAACCTGTCGGCTGTCCTCTTAAAAGTTTTTTTTAATTGTGGGAAATATGCATAACAAAATGTATCACCTTAATCATTACACGCACAGTTCAGTTGCACTAAGTACATTCACACTGTTGCGCAAGCAATTTCCAAACTTTTTCACCTGCAAAACTGAAAATGTATACCCATTAAATAACTCCTCATTTCCCCGCCCCGCAGGCCCTGCTTTCTGCTTCTATGAATAGGATTACTCTAGATACCTCATATAAGTGGAATCATGCAGTACTGTCTTTTAGTCACTAGTTTATTTCATTTACCATAACGCCCTGCTGTGCTTTTTATACTGCATCTCTAATGTCAAAGCCCATGTTCAAGTTGTACTACATATTCACAGTACTTTTTTTGCTCTCACATACTGAATTATCTCCCATTATTATATGTATTTTTTTGAGTTGGAGTTTCACCCTGTCACCCAGGCTGGAGTGCAGAGTATGTAGTACAACTTGGACATGGGCTTTGACATTAGGCATGAAGTACAAAAAGCACAGCAGGGCATTATGGTAAGTGAAATAAACTAGTTACTAAAAGACAGTACAGTATGATTCCACTTATATGAGGTATCTAGAGTAGTTCGATTCATAGAAGCACTCTCACAGCCACTGCAGCATCAATCTGCTAGGCTTAGGTGATCCTTTCATCTCAGCCTTCCAGTAGCTTGAAATACAAGTGCACACCACCACATGTGGCTAATTTTTTGATTTACTGTAGAGACAGAGTCTCGCCAAGTTGCCCAGGCTGGTCTAGAACCCACAAGGCTAAGGCAATCCTCTGTCTCAACCTCCCAAAGTGCTGGGATTACAGGCGTGAGTCACCACGCCCAGTCTTATCTCTCATCACTTTAAGAAGCTGTTCCTGGATTGCCTGGATTCAAGACCCGCCTGGGCAACTTGGCGAGACATCACTTCTACAATAAATCAAAAAATTAGCCAGGCATGGCAGCACGTGCCTATAGTTCCAGCTACCTGGAAGGCTGAGGCAGAAGGATGGCCGGAGCCCAGCAGGTCAAGGCTGCTGTGGCCAGGAGCGGCCACTGCACTCCAGTCTGGGTGACAGGGTGAGACTCCAACTCAAAAAAAAAAAAAAAATCCCTTCCAAAAACCCTTAGGCATTCCCAAAGAAGCTATAGGCATGTCTTCTCTCTAAAACATCAATGACTCAAATTTACATTAATTTTATGACAAAACAAAGAAGAATACATAAAAGTAACTAATGAACCAAGTTTGTAACTTTTCTCTACACTTTTAAATGCCATCAAATCTTCCAAAATCACTCCTACCCAAATTCATTACAGCTATTCCTAATAACTGGCAAACTATGAAGTTTTTTCGTAGTTCCTATCTACTTTCTGAATATTATTCATTTCATACTTACTAATATGTCTGTCAGCCAGGCATGATGGCTCATGTTTGTAATCCTAGTGCCAAGGCAGAAGGATCACTTGAAATCAAGAGGTTGAGACCAGCCTGGGCAACACAGCAAGGTCCTGCCTTTAAAATAATTTTTTTTTTGAGTTGGGAGTCTCACTTTGTCACTCAGACTGGAGTGCAGTGGCCGCTCCTGGCCACTGCAGCATTGACCTGCTGGGCTCCGGCGATCCTTCCGCCTCAGCCTTCAAAGTAGCTAGAAGTACAGGCGTGCACTACCACGCCCAGTTAATTCTTTATTTATTGTAGAGATAAGGTCTCACCAAGTTGCCCAGGCGGGTATCAAACCCGTGAGCTCAGGCAATCCACTCAATTCGGCCTCCCAAAGCGCTGAGATTACAGGCTGAGCCACCGAGCCCAACT